GTATTACCCAGGAAACTACAGTTCAGCCTGAGATTGGGGTGGAGACTCACAGCCACACCATATTACCCAGGAAACTACAGTTCAGCCTGGGATTGGGGTGGAGATTCACAGCCACACCATATTACCCAGGGAGCTACAGTTCAGCCCTAGATTGGGGTGGAGACTCACAGCCACACCATATTACCCAGGGAGCTACAGTTCAGCATGAGATTGGGGTGGAGACTCACAGCCACACCATATTACCCAGGGAACTACAGTTCAGCCTGAGATTGGGGTGGAGACTCACAGCCACACCATATTACCCAGGGAGCTACAGTTCAGCATGAGATTGGGGTGGAGACTCACAGCCACACCATATTACCCAGGGAGCTACAGTTCAGCCTGAGATTGGGGTGGAGACTCACAGCCACACCATATTACCCAGAGAGCTACAGTTCAGCATGAGATTGGGGTGGAGACTCACAGCCACACCATATTACCCAGGGAGCTACAGTTCAGCCTGAGATTGGGGTGGAGACTCACAGCCACACCATATTACCCAGGGAACTACAGTTCAGCATGAGATTGGGGTGGAGACTCACAGCCACACCATATTACCCAGGAAACTACAGTTCAGCATGAGATTGGGGTGGAGACTCACAGCCACACCATATTACCCAGGGAACTACAGTTCAGCATGAGATTGGGGTGGAGACTCACTGCCACACCATATTACCCAGGGAGCTACAGTTCAGCCTGAGATTGGGGTGGAGACTCACAGCCACACCATATTACCCAGGGAACTACAGTTCAGCATGAGATTGGGGTGGAGACTCACAGCCACACCGTATTACCCAGAGAACTACAGTTCAGCCTGAGATTGGGGTGGAGACTCACAGCCACACCATATTACCCAGAGAACTACAGTTCAGCATGAGATTGGGGTGGAGACTCACAGCCACACCATATTACCCAGAGACTTGGATAATGCTCACTTTCCAGGCGTGCCAAGTGCTCCGCAGTCTATCTGAACTCAGTGTCAGATGTCATGTGCATGCCCTCTGTCTTCAGATACCTTTTCAAATGTCATACAACAGTGGTCATTACATATCAAGTGAAGGTCTATCCTGGAGGAATTTTTGTGACTTTAAATTATTAAAAACCAACCTGGGCAGCATCGTGGGACTCCATTTCTACAACAATTTAAAAACAAGCTGGGCATGGTGGTACGTGCTTCTCTGGTCCCAGCTACTTGGGAGGCTAAGGCAGGAGGATCACTTGAGGCCAGGAGTTCAAGGCTGCAGTGAGCCGTGATCTTGCCGCTGCCCTCCAGCCTGGGTGACAGAGCAAGACACTGTCTCTAAACAAGAAACAACAAAAACCAAAATACAAAATCCTTCTGGGGTTCATAGCCCATAGAAGCGATGGTCTAAGAGAACCCAGAAGTGGAGGAGTGGATGTAGGAGTCTGATTTTTGTAGTACACAGTTACCATTCCCAGATTCTCTTTGACCTCTGCTCCCTGGCTGGGACACGTTGAACATCTAAAGACATGGATGCACTTCACAGGCACTTTGGCCAAGTAATGACATGCTCAGGGCTACTTGTGCAGCTTCATGAAGCCCATCATGACCTCCTGGGGCTTGCTTGTTGATCTGGCTTGATTAACAACCTGTGTCCTTAGAGAATACATAGAGCCCTCCTCCTCTTCTGTCCATAGTCTCTATTTCCCTGGAGGCAGACAAAGGTGAGTGACAGCCTGCACCAGGATGTGTTTGGGGGAAGCTCTTGGGGGATTTTCTCTTTTATCATTTGGAGGCAGAGTTAGCCGACCTGAGAAGGGCTGCTGTTCCTTCCTGTGCTGTGAAGGCCTGGTGGGCGGTGCATTCGCTGGTTAACAATTGCAGACCCAGCCTGCTTCCGGGAAGCTCAGCTCAGCTCTGATGTCTGATGTTACGGCAGGGACATGTTTCTCCTTCACACGTGCATGTCTCCATGAGACTTTGATGCCCATGATGTTTAGAATTTCTCTCTTTTCTTTTCCTTTTCCTTTCTGGATTAGTCTGTTTTCACACCGATATAAAGAACTACCGAGACTGGGTAATTTATGAAGAAAAGAGGTTTAATTGACGCACAGTTCCACAGGCTTACCAGGAAGCATGGCTAGGAGGCCTCAGGAATCTTACAACCCTGGTGGAAAGTGAAGGGGAAGCAGGCTCATCTTACCACGGTGGGGGGGTGTGGGGCGAGAGAGAGAGAGAGAGAGAGAGAGAGAGAGAGAGAGAGAGGAGAGAGAGGAGAGAGAGAGGAGAGAGAGAGGAGAGAGAGAGGAGAGAGGGAGAGAGAGAGAGAGAGAGAGAGAGAGAGAGAGAGAGAGAGAGAGAGAGAGAGAGAGGAGAGAGAGAGAGAGTGCGCGCGCATGCCAGTGCGAGCAAAGGGAGGTGCCCTATACCTTGAAAGAAACAGATCTCATGAGAATTCCATCATGAGACTGACAAGGGGGATGGTGCTAAACCATGAGAAACCAACTCATGATTCCCTCACCTCCTGGCAGGCCCCTCCTTCAATATGTGGGAATTACAATTCCACATGAGATTTGGGTGGGGACTCCCCTCCCCCACTCCCCTCCCCTCCCTTTCACTCTCTTTTTTCTTTCCTTTCTCCTTACCTCCCTCCCTCCCTCCCTTCCCCTTCCTTTCTCTCTTCCTCTCTCCCTTCCTTTCTCCCTCGACAGTCTTCCTCTGTTGCCCAGGCTGGAATGCAGCGTGGTATGATCCAGGCTCGCTGCAACCTCCACCTCCTGGGCTCAAGCAGTCCTTCAATCTCAGCCTCCTGGGTAGCTGGCACTATAGGTGCACACCACCACATCCAGCCAAGTTTAAAACTTTTTTGTAGACATAGGGCCTCACTATGTTGCCAACGCTGGTGTAGAACCCCTAGGTTCAAGCAGTCCTCCCACTTCCGCCTCACAAAGTGCTGGGATTTCAGGGGCGTGCCATCTCGCCCAGTCTAAGCTGGCTTCTCATCACCGAAGTCTCAGTGCTCCGCATGGGTGAGCCATGCTTGTGTCTTCAAGGAAGGGGGTGTGGTTTTTCTCATTGAGCATTTTGGAGCAGGCATTCCCTGGGTCAGGGTTCAAGCAATGCTGTTTTAGGTACGTCACACCTATCACTTAATTTATAGGACAGTCCTACCAGGCACATTTTACAGGTGTGGAAATTAAACCTTGGAGAATTTAAGAGACTTGTCCAGGGTCACACAGGGGGCCGCCGTCTAGAGGAGGGAACTCTGAGCTTCCCCACTGCGCTCAGCATGTCTTTGTGAAGTTTTGTAGGTGAACAGTATTTCCACCGGCTCACCCTTATTTATCTTAGAGACTATTACTAGTGTTACTGAATCCCATGTAACATAAAGAGAATTTCCTGGAAGGATTCGAGGCGACATAATTAAGATTCTTTCAATTAGGAGATTTACAAGAGGTGCAGGGTTTCATGTTTTATCAGGTAAAAGTCAGCAGGGGGCTTGGGCTCAGAGGCCAGTAGTCCTGTGGGGACGTGGCGGAAGTCCAGAGATGCCCTCTGGGCTTGTCCCTTCACGAGCGCCACCTACCTGTCCTTTGGCGGGAATCGCCAACCCCCCAGGGGTGTGGGCCCAGAGGCCACTGTGGCCCGCAGCTGGCCTGGGCGCGGCCGGCCCAGGACAAAGTTCTCAACAATTGGGAAACAAAAGAGGAAGAGTCCATTTATCCATTTACACAACAACCAGGCCTTTCATTCCTTTGGGGAACCAGGTCCTCCATCAGCAGGTTAGGGCTGAATGGAGGGTTTCCAGCTGCTGAGCCCTGGTGGGGTGGGGGGTCCACTCAGGAAGCCTCTGTTCCTGCGCCGTGTGCCTCCCAGAGCTGGCATGGGGTCCTGGGGGGTGAAGGAGGTGCACCCCAGCCCGGGGCTCACTTGGTGATGGAAGAGGAGTCACATATCATGGGAGACTATCAAGCTCCCTTCATAAGATCCCAGCTACCTCCAGCCTCATACATACAACTATGAATTAATATTAACTATGAATGATTTATCCATGAGGGAGGGAGAGAGAAGGCTCTCCAAACAGCGGCGGGACTGGTGTGGAATGAGCCTTCTGTGCCGGGAGCAATCCGTCTCTCCCAGTTTCTCTCTTTTTCCCTCTCTCCCGAGGTCTTTCCCCACCCTCTGTCTGTCTCTTTGACTCCTTTCTCCTCCCCTCCCTTGGTCTCTGCCTCTGTGTCTCTCAGCGAGTCCTAATGACAGGGTTTGTGCTCTTGGAAAACTCCTTGTGTCTAAGGCCACCCTGCAGAGGTCCCGGAGTGGGGCTTCCTTCTGAAACCAGCAGGATTGTGCCCTTTGGGGGCCTGTGAACCAGGGAGAGCTGTCAGCCTCTGACCAGCTTGCCCGGGCCTCCACTCGCATCACAGAAACCCGGCACAGAAGCCCAGCACCAGCTGAGTTGGAGATTTCTGCAGGAATGCTGTGTTCAGTGGTGTTTGCAGAGAGTGGCAAGGCAGGGACTTCTGTAAAACATGGACACAGGGAAGGCAGCACTACACACTGGGGTCTACTGGGGGGAATAGGGGAGGGACGGTGGCAGGGAGCTGGGGAGGGATAGCCTGGGGAGAAATGCCAAATGTGGGTGAAGGGGAGGAAGGCAGCAAAACACACTGCCATGTGTGTACCTATGCAACTATCTTGCATGTTCTGCACATGTACCCCAAAACCTAAAATGCAATAAAAAAAAAGAGCACTCACTCCTATTTAAAGCTGCTTCCCCTCCGGTGGCATTTCATGCCCACCTGTTGCAGTGTCTCGAGGTCAGACATGAGGGTCCTTGGCTCTGCTTGAGTGACCCCGGCCACACCCCTTCCCAAGGGACGCTCGCCCACTCCTTCTCCTTAGCTGTTCCCTTTAAGGACCGACTTCCCTCCAGAGGGAAATTCCTGAAACCCAGCAGTTGACAAACCCACACACCCTCGGGAGGGCTGGGCACCAGATAAAAAGCCCTCCGAGGTAGCCCAGCCCCTCCTGGGGACGGCTGCTGCTGCCAGGGGACCCAGAAGAGCCCCAGACCTGCCGCCTAGACTCCCAGCAGAGCCTGGGACCTGCCTCCAGGACCAGTCCCCCACCAGAAGAGCCCAGGACCTGCCACCTGGATCCCCCAAATCCCGCAGAGCACAGGACCTACCTCTGAGATCCCCGCCCCCCAGCAGAGCCCAGACCTGCCTCTAGGACCCTCCAGCAGTGTGGGGACCTGCTGCCCGGACCCCAGCCTGAGTGCCCCACCCTGCCCACTCCCGGCCTGCCACAGTCACCTGTGCCCCTGGTCCTAAAAGGCGGTGAGCCCGGGGGACCTGCACCTGAGGGAAGCGGGTCTTCTGTTTCTCTGGCTTGTTCTCAGCTCTCCGCAGCACCGTCTATTTCTGTCTTTCCTTCTGGAAAGTGTGCTTTGCCAGTGACTAATTGCAGGCTGTGCCGAGATTGTTATCACCTGTCACCTGCACGCAGGACCCAAGCCCATCGGGGAAATTAAGAGATAAACCTGCGGCTGCAGCCCGACCTGGCAGGCCACCTGCCTCCCGCAGGCAGCAACCAGAAGCTTCCCCACCAAGACTGCCAGGGCCACCTCTGGCCCCGCTGGGGGCCACTGGCATGTGGCCGTCGAAGTGACCCCCGGGGGCCCCACGGCCACCCCTGGAAAGACTGACGCAGGCGTTTGAGGAGCAGCCGCCTCCCTGCAGGCTGAGCGGAGCCCTGGATGGAGCTTGGCACCCAAGCCCCTCATGTCTGCCCTGTGGAGGCTGTGTTTTGTGCTGCCCCTGGCAGTCCCCTGCCACAACGCGCAGCGCTGGGAGCCCTGCACAGGTAAGGCGGGGTGTGGGGACTTGGGTGGGTGGGGGAGGGTCTCGCAGGGGAGCTAGAAGGGGTGTCGAGTCGCAAACGCCACTTTCTAACACTGATGGAAGCTGAGGCGCCGGTGCCCGCGGATGATTTGGCAGGGCTGGCAGGTAGCACCCTGGGGAGACGGGCAGAGGCGGGAGGGGCACAGGTGGGGAAGATGAAAGCGCAGGGCAGGCGGCGGCAACAGAGACGCGGCTCTTCAGAACGAGAGCAGGGTGGGGACGAGCTTCAGGAGCAGAGCGGCAGCCACCGGGGCCTCCACAAGTGCTTACCTGCTGGGTCTCCTGGGAGAGCCTGACACCTGCTTTGGGAATGAAGAATGAAGTCGCAGCAGCCCGCAGGCCGCTGCGCAGGAGCCGTTCCCTGTGGGGACGCCCCTTGCCACACTCGGCAAAGCGAAGGTCCTGCCCTTCCCCACAGGACCAAGAAATCAGAGACGCAGGCACAGCCCCAAGCACACCACCCTCCGGAGAGCAGGGCTCAGTTCTTCAGGGCGTAACTTCCGTCTGAGGGGAGAGCCAGGGGCTGGCTCGCCGGCCGGCCTGGCAGGGCCCGGAGGTTTCCTTCCCACCTTTCAGAAAGGCCATCTGGCTTGCTAATGGCCGTGGCACACTAATGGTTTTCTAGAGTTTCTACTGAGGGATTTTACTTTTCAACCAACATTTAAGAAACAGTGTAACAGGCGAACTTGACCTGGTCACTAGAAAGCCGGTTACAGGACAGTGAATTGCTGACTTGAGCACTGAGGCTGACAGCGCCGCTGTCAGGGAGGCCAGGAGAGGCCAGGAGAGGCCAGGGAGGCCAGGAGTGGCCAGGAGAGGCCACAGGAGAGGTCAGGGAGGCCAGGAGAGGCCAGGGAGGCCAGGAGAGGCCACAGGAGAGGCCAGGGAGGCCAGGAGAGGCCAGGAGAGGCCACAGGAGAGGCCAGGAGAGGCCAGGGAGGCCAGGAGAGGCCAGGAGAGGCTTGGGCTTCTGGTTGTTTTCGAATCAGCATCCTTGGTTCCCTGGAATAGATGAAGTCCACCCCTGGCACCAGGCCACAGCTTCCTGCTCGATGACACTCAGATGCGATGACATGACCGGGGATGACCACGGTCACCGGAATATGGAAGGCACTGACCCGTGTGAGGGGTGGGGGTGGGGGTGGGGGTCATAAACATGTCTGGCCACCCAGGGCCGGCCGGCTGTGATTCCAGGACAGCCCTCGGGCTGCGCATTGGGAGGCAGGCTGGTCCCCCGTGCTGGAGCCGCTGCCCTGGGTGTCCGGGCAGGACGGAGGCCCCTGCTTGCTCCCCGGGCTCCAGCACAGCTGCACCTGCCCGCAGGGACTGCCTTGGAACTGGGTGATTCTGTAAACAAAGCCAGCGCCAAGTCAGCTTGTCGCAAAATCCCCTGGCTTCACGCGACCGAGGCACTGCCAGCCCTTCTCCCTTCCCTGCTGGGGACCCCGGGGCGAGCGACGACTCAGCACAGCCTGGAGTGGGGAGGGGGGGAATGAGTCACAGACATGTATTTTCATGTTCCCTTTAGCTCGGGGAACAGAATCAACCTGCATAATAATAACACAGGTTATTTATAAAGCCCGCCCCCTGTCCCCCGAAGCTACGTTCCAAATAGTTAAAAGATGACCCAGTTGTAAATACCGAGAACCAGGGAGGAAAGATAAAAGTCACGTAAATACAGTTGAGCTGAGTTTGGAGCAGTCCCGGGAGACCTGCCCGAGGCAGCCAGGGGTTCAGATGACCTTGGGGAAGTCGCTTGTTCCATTCAGTCCTGGGAGGCGCAGACGCTTGCGCGGCCGGGGGTGTGCGATTCCGCCTTCCCGCGGGCCCCGCCGGCTGGGGCCGTGCGCAGTGTGCACGAGGGCACCGCGCGTGGCAGCGCGTCTCCACTCCTCATCCTGCCCCCCGAGTCTGTGCCCACGGTGTGGAGCCGCGGTTGGTGGTCGGCCCGTAGGTCCCGGGCGGTCTGAGGCTGGGGTCGGGTCTGCCGCGGGGCCCAGGCCCCTTCTCTGGCGGTGCCGCCAGGGAACCTGCTTCGGTGTCCCGGCTCGTTCCGTCCTCTCTCACTTTGCCTGGTCCGGCAATTTCTAGCACTTCGTTTGCTAATCGAGTGACTGCCAGGCTGTGGGGAAGCTGCGGGCTGGGATTTTTGGGCGCCCCAGCCCGGTGGGCAGCAGTGGAGGACCGGCCTGTGTTTTTACACCTCGCCGTAGGAAGCCTCAGCGCGAAGGGCGATTGCGGGGCCCTTTACTCTCGGAAGGAGCCTGTGGTCGGAGCTGGTGCTGCGGAGCCCGGGAGAGTGGGCTGCGTTCTGGGCTGGGCCCCTTCCCCTGGAGCAGCCCATGTCACCTCCACGTGGACAGGAGGTCAAGGCGGGAGATTCCGTGGGAGCCCTCTGAGGACAGCTGGAGCCAGTGGGCAGGGTCACTGGCGGGTGGGCTTTGGGGACTGGGAAGTGGGGGCTGCAGGATGCAAGGGCGACAGCGTCTTTCCATTGCCTCTCTCTGTCCTCAGTGTCACCCCAGGAACAGTCAGTGGTGGGGACCCGTCACACGGGAACCTGCTGAGCGAGGCCTCAGCCCCCCACCTAGCCGGCATTCCTCAATCACTCCCCTCCCCAATACGTTCCCCCAGGATCCACCCAGGAAGGGCCGTGCTCCCGCCCGGGATGCGGCAGCCACAGGCCAGGGCCCCTGCCCGCACAGAGCTGGCAACTCGGCCGAACGGCAGCTGCGTCCAGGTCCAGAGCCAGTGCCGTGAGATCCCGTGGGCTGTGCCCGCTCTGCTGGCAGGAGGTGTCCAGGAGGGGCTCCGGGAGCAGCATCGAGCAGGGGACTGCAGTGTGGAAGGCTGTCGGCAGGTGGAGGGACCCCAGCGGGGGCCGAGGGAGGAGTGGGGTGGTCAGGTCTCTGGGCTGCGGACTGGCGGGGTGCCTCCCAGGAGCCGGAGAAGGCACTGAGAAATGACGGCCAGCTTCGCATCTTAAAAGATCACTGCGGCGCGGGGGCTGGAGGCCTTTGCAGTGAGGGATTAGGAGAGGTTTTCCAGCCCAGCCCTCGCACTGCACTGGGGCTTCCTGGAGTTCCGCCCTCAACCTCTGTCCTCTGGACTTCAGTGCCTAAAGGAGTGTGAGCGCTGGGGAGTCCTGGTCCCTGGCGAGGTCTCCTAGGCCACTCCTGGAAGGCTCTGTGCCGGCGACACCTTCTCTTGGCTGCCTGTGCTTGACCAAAGCCCTTCAGTGGCCTGCAGTTCGGAAGCGTGCCCATTCCTGACCAGGCAGCACAGTCCTCTGTCCAGGGGGCCCAGCTCCCCACTCAGAGCCAGAGCCTGCAGTCCCCGAGGCTGGGGACACTGGAGGGATCTGAGACCAGCCTCGCCTGAGCTCCAGCCTGTTTTGCACAATACATGAAGGCACGGGTTACCCCAGCTCACACCTGCACTCCTGCTCTGTCCCCTCCCCTCTCTCCCCTCCCCTTTCTCCCCTCCCCTCTCCCCTCCCTTCTCTCCCCTCCCCTCTCCCCTCTCCTCCCCCTCCTCCACTCCCCTCCTCTCCCCCACTCCTTTCTCCCCTCCTCCCTCTCTCCTCCCCTGTCTCTCAAATCTCTATGGCCTCGTGCTGGGTGTGGGGGGGTGGTGGTCGGGGGGCACAGGCTAGGCAGCCAGGAGGGATGTGCGTGACCCCCCCAGGGCTCTGAGGGACCCACTGGGGACGGACTGTCCAGTCTGCGGCGATGGGCCTAGGGCTCGTGGCATTATTTTTCTATCATGTTTGTTTATTTCATTTACGTTCTGGAATGAATGACCCCCCACCTGTAGAGGATCAGAGGCTCAGCTGTGTCACCTGTCACCTATGTCTCTCGGAGAACAAATCTCAGAGTTAAGGACCCCCTCATTCCCTGCTCCAGCCGGGGGTCACTTTGGGACCCCTGAAGTTCAAATTGTCAGTGGCCATGCCTTTCCTTTTATAAAATTCTAAACTGTAAGGCCAGGGCATTCCCCCCCACCTTCCCCACCCCCAGATCTTCAGGAAACAAAGAATGTTTGTCTTTGGGGCTGAGCCCCTTAGCTCTGTTGGACACTACGGTTCCGCTGGAGACAAGCCAAGGTGCTCCAGCCTCCCTGTTTCCAGGATAAGGAGCTGCCTACGCAGAGCCCTGCAGGGTCTGCACTAGGTTCCCAGCTGAACGCCCCTCCTCTGCCCCTCCCTGCACCCTGCAGCTACTCGGCCTCCGACTCCACCTCCACCTCCACCACTACCCCCCCATCCTCCCCACCCTGCGTCCTCTGCCCACCCCGGTTCCTCTCACCACCCCTGTCTTCCTGGTGGAGACCTTGGTGTTGGGGTGGGGGCAGAGGTGGAGCTGTAGGAGTGGGGCAGACAGGTGCGGTCCTGGCTGTCACTCCCGTGCTAACCCCAAATCCACATCCACTGGACTTCGCCGCCCTGATCACCTGTGCTGGGGCTAGGGGTGCTCGCCCAGCCCCACCCAACTGATAAACGGAGGCGAACCCGTGGGATCCTTCACTGGTGCCCACGACCCCCAACTGATGCCCACACCAATTCCATTGGGAAAGACGGGCAGGGGCGGACGCGAAATCGTTGCTTTCAGCCTGCCTTTGTCCTATTGGGGAGTAGTTGGGGGTGGGGGACCCCATCTCTCGATGGCTCACTTTTATCCTCCCCACCAAGGTGGGGATTGGGGGAGGCTTTGGCCCTGGGTGGGGTCTGTGACAAATTTAGTCCCATGGGCACCACTGTCAGGGGCTCTGGGGCATGGAAGAGCAACAGAAGAGAAACTCACCAGGCGTTGGGGCGACCAGGCTCGGTTCAACCTGGGGAGCCTGTCCCTGTCCCCTGCCCCAGCAGCTGGGAAGGATGGGGTGGTGGGGTACCCCTGAGACCCAGAGCTGCTCGACCCACACCCCCGCCCTGGCACCTTCGACTTGGCTGCCTCCTCTGGGAAGTGGGTGAAGCGCAGCCCTGTGAAACGACTGTGTGGGAAGCGCTTAGTGTGTGCTGGGCGGGGGTCGGAGCCGGGGACTCGGGGAGGGTGTTTCTGCACGGCTGGAGACAGCATGTGTGCACTTGGGTGTGTGGGTGGGTGTGCGCTTGGGTGTGTGTGTGGGGGGGTGTGCGCGTGGGTGTGTGTGTGTGGGGGTGTGCGTGTGGGTGTGTGGGCGGGTGTGCGTGTGGGTGTGTGGGCGTGTGTGCGCTTGGGTGTGTGTGTGGGGGTGTGCGCGTGGGTGTGTGGGCGTGTGTGCGCTTGGGTGTGTGTGTGGGGGTGTGCGCGTGGGTGTGTGGGCGGGTGTGCGCTTGGGTGTGTGTGTGTGGGTGTGCGCGTGGGTGTGGGCGGGTGTGCGCTTGGGTGTGTGTGTGTGGGGGTGTGCGCGTGGGTGTGTGGGCGGGTGTGCGCTTGGGTGTGTGTGGGGGGGTGTGCGCGTGGGTGTGTGGGCGGGTGTGCGCTTGGGTGTGTGTGTGGGGGTGTGCGCGTGGGTGTGTGGGCGTGTGTGCGCTTGGGTGTGTGTGTTTGGGGGTGTGCGTGTGGGTGTGTGGGCGGGTGTACACATATCTGTGCAGGAAAACCCGTGACGCAGCCGCCTTTCTTTAGTTTTGCTGGTGCGTGTTTTCTGAGGTTTCTGATGGCAGCCTGGTGTCCAGCAGGAGAAGTCTCTCAGCTCTACCTGGCCCAGGCAGTGGGTGGGCCCTGGGAAGTGCCTGGGGAGACCTGTGCTCATACGGGGCCTCGATCTGCAGCTGGGGTTTGGGGGCTGAGCTTGGGGCACCAGGGAAGGGTCACTAGTCGTTGGGGACAGGCCATCGCCGGCCATGGGGAACAGGTCAGTGCATTTGGGTGGGGTCGGCATCCAGGACTCCTTTTTAGTTGAACTGTGCTCCGGAGATGGCTGAGCTCCATCCAGTGTCCGTGGGTGGCGTGCGGGGGCCGTGAGGTGACTCAAGTGACAGACACTGCGTCTTTTTCCTGAAAACATCTTTCCAGTGACAGTGGAGGCTGTGTGGACAGCACTTGCTATGGTCACCCACCAGGGCTCCCTTTCTGGTCCCCATGGCAGATTTTTGGAAATTTTGTGTGTGTCCATCCTGGAGAGACCCCTGCTCCTCTTGCTGATCCAAGCCTTAGTGGAAAGGCCCTTCTGCCACTGTCCCACTGTCCCCAGCTTTGAGCCTTCTGGGTAACCAGCTCCACGTAGCTGTGGAATTCAGATGTGCTCTCGCTCCTGTGTTAAGAAACGTGTTCTGAGAAGGGCCGTGGGCTTTACCTGCCAGGTGGGGCCACCCCCACCGTTTGAGTTCCCTGGGCTGTGGGCTTTACCTGCCAGGTGGGGGCCACCCCCACCGTTTGAGTTCCCTGGGGGTGGGGGTGGACTTGGCTAGAGGAAGGCCGAGGATGTCACAGGAAAGGACAAGTCTGGACTGACAGGCTGGGAAGTGGGGAACTGCCTTCTCTCCCCTCTCCCGTGTTCCATAGTAGGGCCCCTGGAGAGTGGTGTGGGAGGTCCCAGCTGCCTCCCACCCCCAGGGGCCAGGAAGAGGATGGTAGGACCCATTCTGTCTGAATACATTTACACCAATCCTGTTCTAATTGTGGGAGGGCTCTCCTCTCACCTGAGAGTCTCTGGGGACCCCCTTTTTCGGGGAAAGTGGGACTGGAAAAGCCGAGGGCATCTGTGCCAGGCTCTCCGGGGAGACTGAGGCCAGGTGATCTTAGTCCTCTGCTGGGGGTCCTGGGAACATCTTGCTGGATTTTAGGGCCTCCTGGGATTACAGCCCTGGGCACCCCACTCAGTCCCACCCTGTTCCAGCTCCGCTGCAGCTGGGGGGTTCAGGAGCTGGGCAGGGGCACTGGCGTTGGTGTGGAGGCAACAGCAGGCGAGGAGGCAGCTCTGGCGGGGAGTGAGGCTGGGTGTGGGACTCTTGGGGCTCCTAGAAACATTGGTCCCAAGGGAAACCCCCAAAGAGGGGCCAGCTTGGGCTCCAGACCCCATAGTGTGGGGTCCCCAGGTCACGGACCCTTTGGCCTCTTTCCCTCTGACCTCTGCCGCACCGACTGGACCTGGGGCCCCAGAAGAGCTGTTGCTGTTGCCTTCCCAAGCACCGCAGGTGGGCTTGGATGTTTAAATAAAATGCCAGGGCTGCAGGGGAGAGGGAGGCCCCACCCTACCCTGCCCAGGAGCTGGTAGACCACAGCGACACTCTGCCTGCTGCGGGCCCTGTCCCTGGGTTCCTTAAACTCACCAGGGACAGGGAGACGTCAGACACCCAGACCTTCCTGCCAAGGAGCCCTCTGGCCAGATATGCCATCAGAGACATCACCACCTGAATCCTGGACTCACAGCAGGGACACCCAGAGCTGCCCAGAGTTACAGATCCTGGAGGCCTGGGCTGCCAGGACAGGAGCCTTGGAACTCAGAGCCTGGAAATGCTCCCAAGACGTGGCTCATCTCCAGGGTTGCTGAAGCCAGGGCTGTGTCAGCATAGAGGGCCTGAGAAAGAATGGCATAGAACACTAGGCCAGGAGAGGGGCAGGCAGAAGCAAGGAAGACCAGTGTATTTGTTGTGTGAGGCGTGCAGAGGGCAAGGGGGCTGATGGCTTGGAGGAGAAGGGCAGGGGGACAGGGCCAGGGACCTCTTGTGGCTGTGGTGAAATGCCAGGGGATACCCAGGGCCCCTCAATAATAGGAGAGGGCCATCTCATGGTTGCCTGGCCCAGACTTGGAGGTGCTTGTGGGTGTGAGGTCAGCCAGCCTGCGCACTGTAGTATGTACTAGTGCAGTGAGTACCAGTGTGTGTGTGCCGAGAGGTCAGCAGCGGGGGAGCTGGGGAACCTGAGCCTGGCTGGTGCGTGGGGATGTGCCTGTCAGCAGCTGGGCTTCTGGCCTGAGCAGAGGGCTCAGCAGGTGGGACGGGAGCACATGGGGCAGCAGAGGAAGGACATGCAGGAGGCTGGGTGGCAGCAGCTGGGCTGGCAGGAGGGGACAGGCATGCAGCAGGAGGGGACAGGCACGCAGCAGGCAGGCCTGCACACAGGGTGGCAGAGCAGGGACACGAAGGAGGAGGGTCTGCAGCAGGAGGTGGTGCAGCAAGCCGGCTGGCAGCTAGACTGCTGGCAGCATGAAGAAGAATCCCCATAGCAGACAAGCATACAGCACACAGGCTTGCAGCAGACGGGCACACAGCACACAGGCTTGCAGCAGATGGGCCCACAGCAGGCCTGCTGGCAGGGGGAGGAGGTACAGCAAGCCGGCTGGCAGCTAGACTGCTGGCAGCATGAGGGCGTGCAGGAGCTGGTGCAGGCTGATTGGCAGGGACTGGACTCACAGGCCGCCTGGCAGCAGGGACTGGGCACACAGCTCACTGGGGTGCAGACCTGGGTCAGACAGGGGGCCGGGGCAGAGCAGCTGGGGGCACAGCAGGGGGGCTCACAGCAGCTCTCTGGGCAGTCTTCCACCTGCCAGGATTCGGAGCAAGTGCTAGAGCAGATGGACATGGTGGACGTGACCATGTTGGGGGTTGAGCTGGGGGAGACCGGAATGAGTGAGTGGGTGAGTGGGTGAGGGAGTGTGAGGGAGTGGGTGGGTGAGGGAGTGGGTGAAGGAGTGGGTGAGTAGGTGAGGTAGTGGGTAAGTGGGTGAGGGAGTGAGTGAGGGAGTGAGTGAGTGGGTGAGTGGGTGAGGGAGTGGGCAGGTGGGTGAGTGGGTGAGGGAGTGAGTGAGGGAGTGGGCAGGTGGGTGAGTGGGTGTGGAGTGGGCAGGTGGGTGAGTGGGTGAGGGAGTGAGTGAGGGAGTGGGCAGGTGGGTGAGTGGGCAGGTGAGTGGGTGAGGGAGTGAGAGAGTGGGCAGGTGGGTGAGGTGAGGGAGTGGCAGGTGGGTGAGTGAGGGAGTGAGTGAGAGAGTGAGTGGGTGAGTAAGGGTGAGGTGGGTGAGTGGGTGTGGAGTGGCTGAGGGGTGGGTGGGTGTGGGTGGGTGAGTGGGTGAGGGAGTGAGTGAGTGAGTGGGCAGGTGGGTGAGTGGGTGGGTGAGTGGCTGAGGGAGTGGGCAGGTGGGTGAGTGGGTGTGGGAGTGGGTGGGTGAGTGGGCAGGTGGGTGAGTGGGTGTGGGAGTGGGTGGGTGAGTGGGCAGGTGGGTGAGTGGGTGGGTGAGTGGGTGAGGGAGTGAGTGAGGGAGTGAGCAGGTGGGTGAGTGGTGTGGAAGTGGCTGAGGGAGTGGGCAGGTGGGTGAGTGGTGTGGGAGTGGGCAGGTGGGTGAGTGGGTGAGGGAGTGAGTGAGGGAGTGGGCAGGTGGGTGAGTGGGTGAGGGAGTGGGCAGGTGGGTGAGTGAGTGAGGGAGTGAGTGAGAGAGTGGGCGGGTGGGTGAGTGGGTGTGGGAGTGGGTGGGTGAGTAAGTAGGTGGGTGAGTAGGTGGGTGAGTGGGTGTGGAAGTGGCTGAGGGAGTGGGTAGGTGGGTGAGTGGGTGGGTGAGTGGGTGAGGGAGTGAGTGAGTGAGGGAGTGAGTAGGTGGGTGAGTGGGTGTGGAAGTGGCTGAGGGAGTGGGCAGGTGGGTGAGTGGGTGTGGGAGTGGGTGGGTGAGTGGGCAGGTGGGTGAGTGGGTGTGGGAGTGGGTGGGTGAGTGGGCAGGTGGGTGAGTGGGTGGGTGAGTGGGTGAGGGAGTGAGTGAGGGAGTGAGTAGGTGGGTGAGTGGGTGTGGGAGTGAGTGGGGAGTGGGCAGGTGGGTGAGTGGGTGTGGGAGTGAGTGAGGGAGTGGGCAGGTGGGTGAGTGGGTGTGGGAGTGAGTGAGGGAGTGGGCAGGTGGGTGAGTGGGTGTGGGTGAGTGAGTGAGGGGTGAGTGGGCAGTGTGGGTGAGTGGGTGGGTGAGTGGGTGTGGGAGTGGGTGAGGGAGTGGGCAGGTGGGTGAGTGGGTGTGGGAGTGGGTGGGTGAGTGGGCAGGTGGGTGAGTGGTGGGTGAGTGGGTGAGGGAGTGGGCAGGTGGGTGAGTGAGTGAGTGAGGTGAGGTGGGTGAGTGGGTGTGGAGTGGCTGAGGGAGTGGGCAGGGGTGAGGTGAGTGGGTGGGTGAGTGGGCAGGTGGGTGAGTGGGTGGGTGAGTGGAGTGGGCAGGTGGGAGTGGGTGGGAGTGAGTGAGGGAGTGGGCAGGTGGTGAGTGGGTGTGGAAGTGGCTGAGGGAGTGGGCAGGTTGGTGAGTGGGTGTGGGAATGGGTGGGTGAGTGGGCAGGTGGGTGAGCGGGTGGGTGAGTGGGCGGCACTGAGGGCGGTGAGCGTCTGTATCTGTGTTGTCCCAGCAGGAGGCTTCTCCGTGTTTCTCTTTCCTCGTGTTTGGAGTTGGTTCTTGGGAGCCCTCACCAGGGCTGGTTTATTTTCCGGGGAGAGGCCACCCCCTCGTAGACGCCTTGGCTGTGTTGGGTCTGGGCTGGCAAGTCCTGACTGGGCCTACTTACTGGGTGGGTGAGGATCACACTCGGGGGTTTGGACCCTTGGGTGCCGGGCTCTCATTCTGGGAGACCCAGTGACGGGGTGACTTGGACTCTGAGCTCGTGGAGTGGCCGATGTGTGAGCCCTGCTCTGGGCCGTAGTCCCCTTCCATTTGTGTTTGTTGCCATGTCTCCACTGGTAAAGAGGGTGGTGATTCCAGGGCCGTCTCGACCCGTGACTGTGACCCACTGTTCCTGCTTAGGCTGCGCCCGCTGTCTGTGTGCTTCCCGGGGCACCAGCAGTCCATGCGTTTTTCTTGCTGAGACATGTGGGCTCCAGGTTGCCGGGTTGTTTGTGGGCGGGGACCAGGGGGGTCGGCGTCCGGCTGAGCAGTGGCCACATCACTGAGTGGTGAGTCCCTTCTGCCACGCCTGCTCATGGCGCCGTGGTGCTGGCCCAGCAGGGGCTCAGCGAGGGGTGTGTGGCTGTGCTGCATGTCACAAGCTGGGGGCTCTAGAGGCCCCATGGGCTTGGCTTTTGCCTCTGTTGCCCACCATGGAAGTGGTTGGTGCTGCGTCTGGACTTTCTTCTGCTGCCCTCATGCGAGGACACAGACCCTCATGCCCAGGGCACCTTTCCTGGCGGCCAAGATGCAGCAACTGTCCATGGACCCTTGGACAACCCCTGTGCTGCTCGCTGGTGGTCAGGAGACAGTGGCTGATGCTGTGTCAGAAATGAAGGCCACGGTGTCCCCTCTCAGGGAGGCAGTGGGTGGGCACCGCTGCATTCAGGCTGTCCGGGCCCTGGGCTGGCAGGACAGAGGCAGCCACTCCTGCGCAGGTGCGGGGTGAGGAGGTACCTGTGGGGCACGCAGGGGCAGCTGGAGCACCACGGCCATCAGAGGGTGGGAGCCCGAGGCAGGGAGGCCCTACAAGGGCCTGGGAGTCATCAGGTGAGGCTGGCAGGTCCGGAAGGCCACGAGCACCTTCGTCTGCCAGGGACTGAAGGGGGCTAGACCTGACCCCTTAGAAGACTGGGGCTCCATTTCACAATTTCCGTTTCATTATTGCTGTTATCTCAATGAAGTTTTAAACCAGAACACCTGGAAATTGTGCAAGTTTTGCTGATTCCACGAAGCTTCACACACATTTGCAGACTTTCCCGTGGCTGTTAGGATAGTTCTGCACAACCTTGATGGTTTAAAACCAGAAATGTATTGTTATTCCAGGTGCCTGGGCAGAGAGCTGTGCTCCCGGAGCTCAGGGAGGAGCTTTGTTCGTTTCCCGCTTTTATTCTGGGGGTGGATGGCGGCCTCTGCCTGCCTCGCTTTCGTCTCTGCCCCTGTGCTCACATGGACACCGCCTCTCCCGGGTGAAGTTTCTCTGCCTCCCTCTATAAGAATGCATGTGATGGCTTTTAGGCTCTCCTGGCTAAGCCAGGGTCATCTCGCATCTCAGGGCTCTGAACTTCGCTCAGAGATGGAAGACAGAGAGAGTGGATCTCACAGAAGGAAAGCAGGGCAGGAGGTGCTGGCGGCTGGAAGGACGGGGCAGGGAGGACAGGAGGGGCATGTCGAAGGACACAGAACCACAGCTGGTCAGGAGGGGCAAGGTCTAGTGTTGTACAGCAGGCGGCCCCAACCCTGGTACTGGGGACCAGTATGGCCCGTGGCCTGTTAGGAGTTGTGTGGCCGCAGTACAGGAGGGGGTGGCAGGTGAGCGAGCGTGACCGTCTCAGCTCCGCCTCCTGCCAGGTGAGCGGCAGCGCAGGATTCTCAGAGGAGCGCAAACCCCGCTGTGAACTGCGCTTGTCAGGGATCTAGGTTTCGCACTCCTCGTGGGAATCTAATGCCTGATGATCTGTCCCTGTCTCCATCACCCCCTGGTGGGACCGTCTAGTTTCAGGACAAGAAGCTCAGGACTCCTGTCGATCTGACAGGATCATGAGTCGTGTAATTGTTTGATTATATATTACAATATAATAACAGAAGCAAAGTGGACAGTGAAAGTGACACTGGCATCATCCCAAACCATCCCCTCCCAGTCGCTGGAAGGAGCGCATCAAGCGTTCCCCACAGACAGAAGGAGATCACGGGAGCCCTGGACGCCCGGCCCGACCGCCGGCGCTGTCTGTGGAAGCATCCATCGCTGGGAACTCCATGGAGATGTACAGTTATGATTCGTCAATTTAAAACATTTTAAGGATCTTAATCAGCATTCTGTAATTAATCTGCAAAGTGCCTTTTCTCCCTGTAAGGCCAGATTGACAGGTTCCAGGGGTTCGGGTGGGGACATCTTCTGGGGAGCGCCATTTGCCACCGTGGCTCCTTTCCCCGTGTTCTGCCCGGGTCATTTGGTTTCTGCCTTTGTCCACCCCTCACCTCCAGCTTGGCTTGCACGACCTTGGAAGATCACCCCGTGGGCTGCAGTCTCCCCTTTTCAAGATGGGGTCACGGTCCACCCGTCCCACAAGGCCATGTGAGGATTATGTGGTTCAAAACAGGTCACGAAGGCTTTCCGAAGGTCGGCCACTGTTTTTATCGGCCACGAGGCAGTATCGAGCTTGACAGTGTCGCTGGAATTTCCTCTCAGGCCTGGAAAGCCTGGGGTGCCTTGAGATGGAGGGCTCGCTGCTGCCGTGGGTTTGAGCAGACACTCTGAGAGCTGAGGCTTCAGGGCCCCCCAGTTCCTTAACTGTAAAGGTCACTGCCCGGCCCCAAGGCAGGTTCAAACCACCGACCTCACAGATATCGTGACGTTCCAACCAAAGAGAATTCCTCATGCGGCAGCCCGGGCTTCCAGGGCCCGCTCACCATGTGCTGCTTGGTTGGCAAGCGGTGCTCGGGGAGGACTCTGCTCCCGGGGCCCTTCTTACTTGGACTGGACTCCCCTCTCCAGCCCTTAAACACTGAGGGACCGTGGCGGGTGGGGGCGGCAGAGGAGGGGCCCTGGCAAGGGCAGCAGAACCGCTCTCCCTGCCAAGCACATGTGGTATCAGCACGGCATAGGCCTCTCTGCCGGCCGGCCCTTGGCTTCCCCCTCGTCCCGCTGTCTAGCTGTCACGGTGGTGGAAACCTGGCCTGGAAGGCACAGTGTCTCCTGAAGTTACCAAGTTCTTCCTGTCTTTCTCCAAAGTCAGCATCTTCCACTAGACAAGAGCGTGCTTCCTCCCAAAACTAAATTCTGTAGAAGAATCTGTTGTCATGGGAGCTCTGGAAGCACCGGGCGTCTCCTGGGAGGCTCTGACCTGTGGACAGGGCTGTTGGCCCTGCTGGCCCAGAGTGGTTCAGCAAATCAGGGGCCAGAGTCACCCTGAACTAAAGAAATGGTGCTGGGGAGAGGCAGGGCAGAGCCCACAGATGCCTGGCAGCTCAGTGAAGGTGGCAGGGCCCCGGGCAGTGCAGGGGATGAGGTGGAGTCCAGCTGCCCCCGCCAGTCAGGGGAGAGGGCAGTCAGGAGGAAGATGGGAGCTCAGCTTCAGATGTGCCAGGCGTGGCTTCCCTTCTATCTGGGACACCCCTGGAGGCCGGGAGCCCAGGGCAGGCACCGGGGTGGAGGCCTGGAGGCTGGGGACAGGGAGAGACCACACATAGAGAAAAGGCAGAGGAATGGGAGCAGGAGCTGAGACAGATGCGCCCCAGGAGCCCAGGGAGACAGGCACAGCAGGGGCCAGCCAGCAGAGGGAGGACAGAGGGACAGTGTCCTCAGCACCACAGTTCTTGGCCAACTGCAGGAGGAGGGAGGGGAAGAACGGTGTGCCGGAGGAGCCGGGGGTGAGATGGGGTCTCGAGGAGCCACTTCCTCTGGGAGGTGCGAGGCAATACTGAGTCAGAGGCTGCGATTTCAGTTACACCTGTTCCCCCACCCACCTTTTTTTTTTTTTTTTTTTTTTTTTTTGAGACAGGGCCTTACTCACCCAGGCTACAGTGCTGTGGCTCAATCACAGCTCACTGCAGCCTTGATCTCCCAGGCTGAAGTGATCCTCCCACCTCGGCTTCAGACGGGATTGCAGCAGGTGGGCACACTGAGTAGGTGGGACTACAGGTGCATGCCATCATGCCCAGCTACATGAGTTTTATTTTAATTAATTTGTAATTAATTTTTTGAGATAGGGTCTCACTCTGTCGCCCGGGCTGGAGTGCAGTGGTACAGTCTCGGCTCACTGCAGCCTCCACCTCCCAGCTAAAGCGATTCTCTGACCTCGGCCTGCTCAGTAGCAGGGACCACAGGCACATGCCATGATGCCCAGCTAATTTTTGTATTTTTAGAGACAGGGTCTCACTATGTCGTCCAGGCTGGTCTCAAACTCCTGGGCTCAAGCGATCTTCCCATCTTGGCCTCCGAAAGTGCTGGGACTACAGGCATGAGCCACACGCCTGGTCTTTTTATTTGTAATGGAGACAGTTTTACTCTGTTGCCCAGGCTGAAGTTTCATCTATTTTCTGTTAGAAAAGACATCAGGATATTCATGGTCAGGGCAGCAGGCTTCAGACACAGGAGGTGTGGGAGCAGTGGAAGGAAGCTGGGGAGGCGGGAGAGGCTCGGGCGGCTGAGCCTGGGTGCTTGCCCCTCCGCCTCTGAATCTCCCTGAGGACTGAGGGGCTGGGCTGCTGGTGGAGCGAACCATCATCTCTGTCTGGGGCCTGGACTCTGTATCCAGCCAGCCCCCACTCGGCAGGGAGGGCAGCCCCTCAGGGAAAGGTGGGGTAGGTGCGGGGGCTGTGCCTGTGACTGCCCCTGCTGCCACCCCAACACTCGCCCACCAGGACTTGCCTGCTGGGCTGGGGTGGGGACTGCCATGCTGTTGACCCTCCCTGGGACCGGCGCATTCCTGTAGGGATGGCACCAGTGCCAGGCTAGTGTGTGTCTGGCCTGGAGTAGGGCTGGGTGCGAGGGCCCCAGGAGGCTGCGCCTGAGTCCTGGCCTCCAGTCTGGCTGGCCAGCAGTTCAGCCAGAAAAGGCCCAAAGGAGAGAGTGAAGCGCGGCCGGGCTACGTGGAGGGTGTTTATTAGGGTCTCCAAGCAGGGTCCTCGCATGGCCAAAGAGGCGCAGCAGCTTCCAAGTAGGCGAGATCACAGGGCCTGGAATGTGGGACCTGGTTCAGGAAGAGCAGGGGGGGGCAGTGGGTGGAGGCGGGGCCACCTGGAGTTTAGCGGGAGCCCCCAGGGCTTAGGGGAGGAGAGGCTGTGCACACATCTCCAAGGAAGAGACAGACACCAGGGCAGCCCAGGGGCCAGTAGTGGGAGAGGTGAGGGACTCGGTGCCCAGTGAGCCGAGGGACATGCCCGGCAGCAGCTGGGCTTCTGGGCTGAGCAGAGGCCTCAGCAGGCTGGGCGGGAGCATGCGGGGCGGCAGAGGAGGGACACGCAGGAGGCTGGGCGGCAGTAGCTGGGCTGGCAGGAGGCGGGGGCACAGCCGGAGGGGACGGGCACGCAGCAGGCAGGCCTGCACACGGGGCGGCAGAGCAGGGACACAGAGGAGGAGGGTCTGCAGCAGGAGGTGGTGCAGCAAGCTGGCTGGCAGCTAGACTGCTGGCAGCACAGAGAGGAAGCCCCATAGCAGACTGGCACAGAGCAGACGGGCTTGCAGCAGATGGGCACACAGCAGGCCTGCTGGCAGGCGGAGGAGGTACAACAAGCTGGCTGGCAGCTAGACTGCTGGCAGCACGTAGAATCCTCAGAGCAGGTGGGCACACGGCAGACGGGCACACAGCAGACAGACTTGCAGCAGACGGGCACGCAGCAGGCCTGCTGGCAGGGGGAGGAGGTGCAGCAAGCAGGCTGGCAGCTAGACTGCTGGCAGCATGTAGAATCCTCAGAGCAGGTGGGCACACGGCAGACGGGCACACAGCAGACAGACTTGCAGCAGACGGGCACGCAGCAGGCCTGCTGGCAGGGGGAGGAGGTGCAGCAAGCCGGCTGGCAGCTCGACTGCTGGCAGCACGAGGGCGTGCAGGAGCTGGTGCAGCCTGATTGGCAGGGGCTGGGCTCACAGGCTGCCTGGCAGCAGGGGCTGGACACACAGCTCACTGGGGTGCAGACCAGGGTCAGGCAGGGGGCCGGGGTGCAGCAGCTGGGGGCGCAGCAGGGGGGCTCACAGCAGCTCTCTGGGCAGTCGTCCACCTGCCAGGATTCAGAGCAAGAGTCACAGGAGCCGGGCAGGCAGACGCGGCTGCCGTAGCTCAGGTTGCTGGAGCAGACGGACATGGTGGACGCGGCCATGCTGGGGTTGAGCTGGGGCAGATGGGAGGGAGGCAGCAGTGGGTGTCTGGGTGCTGGCTGGAAGGAGGGAGGGAGGGAGTGAGGAGTCTGGGTGCTGGGAGCTTATATAGCTCTCAAGGGCGTGTGTGTTGTCCCAGCACAAGCCCCCAGGCGTTTTCCTTGTTGGCGTTTGGGGCGGTGTCCTGGGCTCCAGGGAGACTCGCAGTTCCGCTCATGTGGCTCCCAGGTGTCAGCACTGAGTGGGCCTGTGGGACGGTGCAGCGAGCTGGACGGAGGGCTGCAGCCCAGCCTCTGCATGGAGCACGAGGGTCAGCGGCCCCTGGCTGCTCCTCTGCGATGGTCTGTTGGGGCTGCTTGCTATTATTTCCCCTAATTTCTGGACACTCAGTTGAGTCAAGGATGTTTTTCTTCTTGCTTTGTGTTCTCTTTATTTTGAGTCCATAGACCAGCGAATGGCTTGGGATCTGGATTTATCTTTTTTGCCAAACAGTCATGTGAGAGGCCTTGCTGTGTGTCAGGAAGTACCTGGGCCAGTTTGTGAATGTGACCTCACTAACCCATACACCAACCTTGTAAAGCAGCCGCCCTCATTCCCACTCTGCAGATGGAGAACCTGCAGCACAATGAAGAATTCGTGCGAAAGCCTCACCGGAGGCCTGGCAGGCCCGTGTTCTGCATTCTTCACCACAGGCCTCTGCTGCCTCAGACAGCAAGGGACGTAGAAAGTCAGAATGAGAAACCCAGATTCTGTGAGGGGGCAGGCAGAGCACAGTGTGGGACTGATGCGAAAATATCTGGTGGGTGCCCAGAGGGGTGGGCTCCTTCCATCTAAAGAGAGGATTTGGGTTTATTTATGAGCGGGAGTGTGAAGAAACACTATTGTGCAGGGAAGCTTGTGTGGTGTGAATATCCCACTGTGGTGAGGTGAAGCCCTGGTGTGTGGTGTGTGCCATGTCCATGGTGTGAATATCCCACTGTGGTGAGGTGAAGCGTGGTGTGAATATCCCACTGTGGTGAGGTGAAGCCCTGGTGTGTGGTGTAGCCCTGGTGTGTGGTGTGTGCCATGTCCATGGTGTGAATATCCCGCTGTGGTGAGGTGAAGCCCTGGTGTGAATATCCCACTGTGGTGAGGTGAAGCCCTGGTGTGTGGTGTGTGCCATGTCCATGGTGTGAATATCCCACTGTGGTGAGGTGAAGCCCTGGTGTGTGGTGTGTGCCATGTCCGTGGTGTGAATATCCCACTGTGGTGAGGTGAAGGCCCTGGTGTGAATATCCCACTGTGGTGAGGTGAAGCCCTGGTGTGTGGTGTGTGCCATGTCCATGGTGTGAATATCCCACTGTGGTGAGGTGAAGCCCTGGTGTGTGGTGTGTGCCATGTCCGTGGTGTGAATATCCCACTGTGGTGAGGTGAAGCCCTGGTGTGTGGTGTGTGCCATGTCCATGGTGTGAATATCCCACTGTGGTGAGGTGAAGCCCTGGTGTGTGGTGTGTGCCATGTCCATGGTGTGAATATCCCACTGTGGTGAGGTGAAGCCCTGGTGTGTGGTGTGTGCCATGTCCATGGTGTGAATATCCCGCTGTGGTGAGGTGAAGCCCTGGTGTGTGTTGTGTGCCATGTCCATGGTGTGAATATCCCACTGTGGTGAGGTGAAGGCCCTGGTGTGAATATCCCACTGTGGTGAGGTGAAGCCCTGGTGTGTGGTGTGTGCCATGTCCGTGGTGTGAATATCCCACTGTGGTGAGGTGAAGGCCCTGGTGTGAATATCCCACTGTGGTGAGGTGAAGCCCTGGTGTGTGGTGTGTGCCATGTCCAAGGTGTGAATATCCCACTGTGGTGAGGTGAAGCCCTGGTGTGTGGTGTGTGCCATGTCCATGGTGTGAATATCCCACTGTGGTGAGGTGAAGCCCTGGTGTGTGGTGTGTGCCATGTCCATGGTATGAATATCCCACTGTGGTGAGGTGAAGCCCTGGTGTGTGGTGTGTGCCATGTCCATGGTATGAATATCCCACTGTGGTGAGGTGAAGCCCTAGTGTGTGGTGTGTGCCATGTCCATGGTGTGAATATCCCACTGTGGTGAGGTGAAGCCCTGGTGTGTGGTGTGTGCCATGTCCATGGTGTGAATATCCCACTGTGGTGAGGTGAAGGCCCTGGTGTGAATATCCCACTGTGGTGAGGTGAAGGCCCTGGTGTGAATATCCCACTGTGGTGAGGTGAAGCCCTGGTGTGTGGTGTGTGCCATGTGCATAGTGTGAATATCCCACTGTGGTGAGGTGAAGCCCTGGTGTGTGGTGTGTGCCATGTCCAAGGTGTGAATAACCCACTGTGGTGAGGTGAAGCCCTGGTGTGTGGTGTGTGCCATGTCCGTGGTGTGAATATCCCACTGTGGTGAGGTGAAGCCCTGGTGTGAATATCCCACTGTGGTGAGGTGAAGGCCCTGGTGTGTGGTGTGTGCCATGTCCATGGTGTGAATATCCCACTGTGGTGAGGTGAAGCCCTGGTGTGTGGTGTTAGCTGTCATCCATGGTGTGAATATCCCACTGTGGTGAGGTGAAGCCCTGGTGTGTGGTGTGTGCCATGTCCGTGGTGTGAATATCCCACTGTGGTGAGGTGAAGCCCTGGTGTGTGGTGTGTGCCATGTCCATGGTGTGAATATCCCACTGTGGTGAGGTGAAGCCCTGGTGTGTGGTGTGTGCCATGTCCATGGTGTGAATATCCCACTGTGGTGAGGTGAAGCCCTGGTGTGTGGTGTGTGCCATGTCCGTGGTGTGAATATCCCACTGTGGTGAGGTGAAGCCCTGGTGTGTGGTGTGTGCCATGTCCCTGGTGTGAATATCCCACTGTGGTGAGGTGAAGGCCCTGGTATGAATATCCCACTGTGGTGAGGTGAAGGCCCTGGTGTGAATATCCCACTGTGGTGAGGTGAAGCCCTGGTGTGTGGTGTGTGCCATGTCCGTGGTGTGAATATCCCACTGTGGTGAGGTGAAGCCCTGGTGTGTGGTGTGTGCCATGTCCGTGGTGTGAATATCCCACTGTGGTGAGGTGAAGGCCCTGGTGTGTGGTGTGTGCCATGTCCATGGTGTGAATATCCCACTGTGGTGAGGTGAAGCCATGGTGTGAATATCCCACTGTGGTGAGGTGAAGGCCCTGGTGTGAATATCCCACTGTGGTGAGGTGAAGCCCTGGTGTGTGGTGTGTGCCATGTCCAAGGTGTGAATATCCCACTGTGGTGAGGTGAAGGCCCTGGTGTGTGGTGTGTGCCATGTCCGTGGTGTGAATATCCCACTGTGGTGAGGTGAAGCCCTGGTGTGTGGTGTGTGCCATGTCCGTGGTGTGAATATCCCACTGTGGTGAGGTGAAGCCCTGGTGTGTGGTGTGTGCCATGTCCGTGGTGTGAATATCCCACTGTGGTGAGGTGAAGCCCTGGTGTGTGGTGTGTGCCATGTCCATGGTGTGAGTATCCCACTGTGGTGAGGTGAAGCCCTGGTGTGTGGATGTGTGCCAATGTCCGTGGTGTGACATATCCCACTGTGGTGAGGGTGAAGCCCTGGTGTGTGGTGTGTGCCATGTCCATGGTGTGAGTATCCCTACTGTAGGTGAGGTGATGAGAAGCCCTGGTGTTGGTTGTGGCATGCCGTGTGTGTGATATCCCCAATGTGGTGAGGTGAAGCCATGGTGTGTGGTTGTGTGCAATGTCCATGGGTGAATAATCCACTGTGGTGAGGTTAAGCCCTGGTGTGTGGTGTGTGGCCATGTCAGTGGTGTGACTATTCCCACCGGGTGAGTTGAAGCCCGGTGTTGGGTGTGCCATGTCGTGGGTCGTGAATATCCCACTGGGTGGGGTGAATCCTGGTGTGTGGGTGTGTGCCATGTCCGTGGGTGAATATCCCACTGTGGTGAGGTGAAGCCCTGGTTTGTGTGGTGTTGCCATGTCCGTGGTGTGAATATCCCACTGTGGGAGGTGAAGCCCTGGTGGGTGGTGATGTGCCTGTCCGTGGTGTGAATATCCAATGTGGTGAGGTGAGCACTGGTTGTGTGGTGTGTGCCATGTCCGTGGTGTGAATATCCCACTGTGGTGAGGTGAAGCCCTGGTGTGTGGTGTGTGCCATGTCCATGGTGTGAATATCCCACTGTGGTGAGGTGAAGGCCCTGGTGTGAATATCCCACTGTGGTGAGGTGAAGCCCTGGTGTGTGGTGTGTGCCATGTCCATGGTGTGAATATCCCACTGTGGTGAGGTGAAGGCCCTGGTGTGAATATCCCACTGTGGTGAGGTGAAGCCCTGGTGTGTGGTGTGTGCCATGTCCGTGGTGTGAATATCCCACTGTGGTGAGGTGAAGCCCTGGTGTGTGGTGTGTGCCATGTCCATGGTGTGAATATCCCACTGTGGTGAGGTGAAGGCCCTGGTGTGAATATCCCACTGTGGTGAGGTGAAGCCCTGGTGTGTGGTGTGTGCCATGTCCGTGGTGTGAATATCCCACTGTGGTGAGGTGAAGCCCTGGTGTGTGGTGTGTGCCATGTCCATGGTGTGAATATCCCACTGTGGTGAGGTGAAGGCCCTGGTGTGAATATCCCACTGTGGTGAGGTGAAGCCCTGGTGTGTGGTGTGTGCCATGTCCGTGGTGTGAATATCCCACTGTGGTGAGGTGAAGCCCTGCTGTGTGGTGTGTGCCATGTCCGTGGTGTGAATATCCCACTGTGGTGAGGTGAAGCCCTGGTGTGTGGTGTGTGCCATGTCCGTGGTGTGAATATCCCACTATGGTGAGGTGAAGCCCTGGTGTGTGGTGTGTGCCATGTCCGTGGTGTGAATATCCCACTGTGGTGAGGTGAAGCCCTGGTGTGAATATCCCACTGTTGTGAGGTGAAGCCCTGGTGTGTGGTGTGTGCCATGTCCGTGGTGTGAATATCCCACTGTGGTGAGGTGAAGCTCTGGTGTGTGGTGTGTGCCATGTCCGTGGTGTGAATATCCCACTGTGGTGAGGTGAAGCCCTGGTGTGAATATCCCACTGTGGTGAGGTGAAGCCCTGGTGTGTGGTGTGTGCCATGTCCGTGGTGTGAATAT